TTAAAAAAACAATAGTTAGAAAAGATTAAAAGTAACAAACCGATAAAAATTGTTTGTTAATTGATTTCGAACAAGAACATGATCAATATTCCATCGAGGCATTAAACCAGTATTATCATGACCTATTCGAAGTGTTGTTAATTGACCCAAATTTTTGCGCTAAACAAAACAAAAAAATAAAAATCATCATGAACTTTTGTTTTTCATTCTATTTCATATAAAATCAAGATTTTACTTTGAATTTAATTTCAAGTGTTTTTTTTTGATGGTAATGGTATAACTTTTGTTGATCCCAAAATACCAGCTAATGCAATATATGGATTAGCAGTTGTTGTACTAGAAATTCTTGTTGCTCGTGCTCTGGTAGGAACAATAATAACATGATAAATAATATCAATATCTGGATAAGAATTTGAAAAACATTTATAATCAAGTAATTGAAGCGATTCAATATGAGCTAAAAATTGTTTTCTTAAATCTCCATCATCGGTTACGTAAAAAAGCTTCACGTTTATATAAAGCTTGTAAAAGATCACTATGAGAAAATAATACAGATAAATGACGAGATAAAAGACGACGTTCAAGTGCCAAACGAACAAATGCACGAGCAAAACCAATTTCAGACGCTGAAACAGACACTGGCTTATGTCCAAAACATAATTCAATAGAATGAAAATCATGTGCTAGAGATGTATTCGATTGATTAGTTATCATCATATTATTGGATGGAGCAAGATTGAATGCTGAAGTTGCCATTGCTAATAGAGGTGATGAACGTACTTGATGTAGACTCATTTGAGGACGTGGAAGAGTATGAGAACCTAATAAATACACAGAAAAATAAAGTTAACAAAATAAAACAAGAAAGTATATTGCTTATGATGACCACTGGGAGATTGAGATCGACTAGCTGATGAACTACGATTTACTAATTGTTTTCTCATTAAACACCAAACCACAGCTAAATGAAAAATTTCATTTAAATTTTAAGAATAAAAAAAATTGTACCTGGATTTTCATCTTTATTCAATGTTACTGGAAGACCGGCATGAGACATTTGTGTTGACTCATAATTTATAAGTTTAACATAATATTTAATATGATTCCATAAAGCAGATTTTCCCTTTGGTTTATGATGAACACCATGAGACCAAGTACGTTCAAGTAAATCACCAAAACCTGCTATTAAAACATTTTCTTCTAAATTAACCATTGATGATGAATCTTCAATAATATCTTCCATTTTTTCAATAACCATTCGTTTTGTCTTAACAAATAACGAAAGAAAGAAGACTTTTTATTACAAAATAAATTTTTATTATTTACTTTAGTAATACATTCTTTAGGTAATTGTTGAAAAACAACATCATTTTCAAGAAGAACAACAGTTTATGGATGTTCATTATAAGCAACTGTTTGTTGTTTTTTTATTCTTGTAATACGTCGTCGTGGATGTTTTGTTTGAAATGA